TCAACCATTATTAATACATAGTACTTAGAGTGATGTGTTTACTGGGGTTAAAGTGATTTCTTTTTTTCCCTAATGTGCAATATTGCTACTGTACTTTCAATTCTGGCTTATTTTAAATTACAATAGCACAAATGTTCCAATTAAGAGAGAAAATGATAAATACATTAAGGTATCCAGTTGCTTTACTGTAAATTGCCATAAAATAGAGATGAAAACCAATGCAAAGCAGCCTGTAAGTGAAGTTGGCTCCTACTTTATCCAGACTAGGAATATGTAAAACACAAAATCTTGTACACAAATTAATTTTATGCTTTATACATGATTTAATTTTGTCATGGTCTGTTGATTATTTTTTTTCTGATTTCTTTTAGCATAGTAACAAGAATGTCTGAAGGACATCAACTAAAGTATAATTGAGAAAGAAAATATTCATAATTATGTGTTGTGATATGGGTGAGGCTGAAAAAGAAAACGAGCCCTAAGAAGCAATTCTTCTTTCTCCTTACAGGAGAATAGCAAGTTCACAAGGTATAAGGGACCCTTTATTAATCATTAAAGGTAAGGAAAAAGAGGCTAGGCCAAGCGATGGACAATGTGAACTCTAAGGTAGTTTTAAAAAAAATTCCTGTGACCCCTTTCTTTTTGTTGAGTAAGGCTGAGCTATTCCTGATGATAAAGAATTTCTGCTGAGAGAAGAATTCCACAGCAGATAGAGGGTTGGGTGTTGGCTTTGGAGGCTGAACTACAATGAAAACATCATTAGTAATACTGTGGAAACGACTTCTTTCTGCCATTTCCACTCCACCTAATTACAGAAAATCATGACTCATTAAAAAAACTATGACTCATATTGCTCAAATATGATTTCTAAGACTTTTATCTTGTGATTTAATGAAAGAAATAGTTTTTCAAAGGTTGTGATTTGTGATAATCTGATGACTTCCTTCCTGTACTGTTTTGTAGGTGGGTTGATTCATTAGGATAAGTACACTAAAAATATCATTTACCAACTTTTCTTTGTTTTTTGGGGGTTTTAAAACTCCTAATGTTCAAATTTAAAGAGGGTTCTAGGTTTAAAGTAATATTTTAAATGAGCACAATGATTTAATATTAATAGTAGAACTAAAGTTTCAAAATAATTTTCCAGACAGTTGAATAATCATCTAGAAAGCTCTCTAGCATTGCAGAAAAAACAGTACATCTAGAGAGGTGTCCCATCTTCTGAAAGACCTTTGATATGTATACTGAAAGTACTTGGGGAAATGCAAATTTAATTGTTATTATTGTTATTGTTATTATGGTAAATATTCTAAGAGCTTGCAAACTTGGACCAAAGGCTTTCTTAAAAATGCCCTTGCTTCTGTGATTTAGGCTCTGTTTACAAATAAAGATTATACTGACTTGAACAGAATATATACTTACATTCATGGTACTTTTGATGTTACTAAAATTTATTCATATAATTTGAAATAGTCAGCAGGGTGTGGTGGCACAGGCCTGTAATCCCACTGGCTCAGGATGTTGAAGCAGGAGGATGGTGAATTCAAATCCAGCCTCAATAAAAGTGAGGCACTAAGCAACTCAGTGAGATCCTGTCTCTAAATAAAATACAAAATAGGGCTGCAGATGTGGTTCATTGGTCAAGTGCCCCTGAGTTCAATACCCAGTACCGCCCCCACCCCCAAATTTGGAATAGTCATACATACATATACATTTATATTGAGATATTGATTAATGAAGATATGCACCACCTCTCTAAATGCAGTGTATCCAGATTCTGGGTTTTGGAGTTAGAGAGTTGGATTCAAGCTCTGGCACTGGTACTTCATGAAACCATGAATATTAGCTCATGTACTAGCTGATTACCTTCTGGAAGTGCTTTCTAAGTTACAGATATTCTTAGTAATTTATGTGCCAATTAATTCTCAAGAGACCCTTATTAGATAGGCACTATCACACCCTCTTAAGAAGTAGGAAAATTGAGACGCAGGAAGATAAGCAAATTGTCCTCATTCACATGATCCTGTAATCTAGGCAATAAGGTGGGCTTTAACTATTGAACCCACTGTTCTGTGCACATGTGTGCCCAGCCCCTGTATTAAAATCTACCTAAGGTGGTTGTACCTTTTTCTTTTTTCATTAATGATGTGCTCATATTTCACTTCAAGGTAAAAGTTATTCCCTTTAACTTAAAGGAAGTCCAATACTTATTAGTTCCACAGAAGCTTCGGTAAAGGTTGAAGCCATAACCAGCATGACTCCTAACTTTTGTTGAATCAAAGTGTGTAAAGTTCAGACAATATGGTCTTGTGATAGTGAAAAGCAATCTAAAGTATGAATAACCTTTTAATAATATTTGTTCAGTAAGTCATATTGCAGATAAACAATCAAAGTTGGATTTCTTCAGTGCAAGTTTTTCTCCCAGGAACACCTTTCTATATGAAAAGTCAGCTTTGAAAATAATCTCGCCTTATCAACAGCCTCTGTTCCCGTGTGATATCTTCCCAGCCTATAATCACTCCTGGATAATATGCCCTGAATTTGTTTCAGATAGTGAGTGCTTTTCTTTCACTCCACAAAGTTCATTGCTAAAAACAGTGCTATTCGATTCTAGTTGGGTTAATATGCCGAATTTTTCCTGGCCTGAAGTAGACATGGCCTAAGTTGCTGTTGCCTGATGTTGGTGTTCTTGAGTCATTCTGGTGCAAACGTGGGTAACAGCATCTAATCTTACATCTCTAAATCGGTTTCACAAAGAATCTACTCTTTGTCTCTTAACATGAAGACTGATCTTATGCAGGAAGATTAGGCATCTCTCTCTCACTCCCTCTCTCCTCCTTTCTCTCTTTCTCTATAAAAATGGATGGTTTTGCAGTCTGAACATAAAGATAGAAATTATATAGGATAATAATATTTAGGCATTTCTCTATCTCTTTCTCTCTCCCTCTATCTGTCAAAATGGAAGATTTTGGAGGTAGTTTATATCTCATATCTGCTACTTTATGGCCTTTTTTCCCCAAGAAGAATAGTCATGTCTTTGAGCCTTAATATTTTCATCTGGAAAATGAGGACAGTGCTACTTTCCTTGAAAGTTGTGAGGATTAAAAATAATATGTCAAATCCTCGAGTAGAAATCTAATACCTCCAAGAAGAATTTCCAAATTTTATACAGTAAATTATATTCTTACAAAAGAATTTGCTGAGTACAAAATTAGAAAAGTTATACAAAGCTCCTATTGTAATACAGAAACTTTCTTGCATAGATATCAAATAATAATATATAATTTCTCTAACACATAATGTTATCTATGTATGAAGCTTATAGATGTATGATATACTACTTTTAATATTGCTATGATTAACATGTTTCTGCCAGTCAATGAATACAGTAGCAATATGAAAAGGTACAAAAGGATCAAAAAGGGAATAGGAGTAAAGTTAACATAGATGTCAAAAGGAATCTATAATAAATAAAATGATACTGTATAAAAAGGGAGGCATCAATTGGTAGCAAAACAGGACAAATCAGCAAACAATTTCTTTAGCAGAATTAGGGAAATATAGTCTAAAGATATATACATACATATATATCATATATATATATATATATGATATATATATATATAATGTATTTGTGTGTGTGGAGAGAAAGAGAGAGAGGAAGAGAGAGAGGGAGAGGAAGAGAGAGAGGAAGAGAAAGAATTGCTTTAAAATTCAACATTGATGATGTAAAACAATTTTACAATCCACACTTGCTGAGATTATACACAAAGAATAATATTTATCTCTAATCATAATATTTATCTCTAATATGTTTAATATAAAATACTTAAAATGAATTTTGAGATGTGCTTAAATCTAACTTTTCAACTTTCATATTTCTTTGTTCTAGAAGTATAGCAAATCATTACATTTCTCAAAAATTTTGCTAACATGGGAGCTTAAAACTTTGAAATATAATTTACATATTTTAAATGATAAATTGACATAAATATTAAGAGTATAAAGTGTATAACATATGATTATTTCCAAAGTATTGTGCTCAAATAAATAGAAAGAGAGAAAACTATAGGTTGTACAAATTGAATCATTTACCATGCTGGTCTAAATTACTTGATACCTTTTATTTTTCTGTAGTGAAATAAAGTTGCCATACAATTAGTAAAAGAATACTCATAACTTTCAACTGAAAAACGAGATCTTGGCTCTCAAGTTGAAAGTAAGGTTGTTAAACCAACAGTGATGGAAAGTAGTCATATTTGAATCCTTCATTCAATATTTGTTTGAAAAATAAGGTACATAATTAAAATTTTCTAGAAAATAATACTTTGGGAATGAGTAAACAAGAAAGGTTTTTGTGCCAAAGTTTAATGAAATAAATAATGCTATGTTTTTTTTTTATATAAAATCTTCCTGGAAAGATCTTTTTTATAATATAGATTTTTTAAAAAAATCATCAACCCACTCACATATATAATTTCCAAGGCCATATAACATATATATCTTTTCAAATAATCTATATAACTCTATGTTAGCTCTTCAAAATTTAGTAAAATATAAGAGTTGTTAGATTAGAATGATTCAGACAAGAAAAAAATAAAATTAATTAAAATAATCTAGATAATCTGAACAGATAATGGCTGTAAAATAAAAATAGTTTATTTTAAGAATAAAAATAAATAAATAATTATTTAAATTTTTTAGAGACAGAGCTATTTATGGAAACAAAATCTTATAACTTCAGTCATAATTCTGAGTCAGGTTAATTATGAAAGTAGAAGCAACTCGATTGCCTCTATGGGATAATGCATTTAAGATTTAATGATATTACCTTCTTTTAATAGTGACATTAAGCATCTACTAATTAAAGCTTTAGTGAAAACAAACTAAAACATCAATATTTCCTATTGAAAATGTCAAGTAACACATAAAATTTAAAAAAAATAAGGGTTAAATTATAAAAGACTGGAAATGTTTGCGGAAATAACAATTATACTTACATAGTTCCCACAAAACATTTTGATGATAAAGAATAACTTCAGCGTAGATCACAGGATTCTAGTAAGTGATCAATTACATAGAGCAGTTATACTGTGAAGCCAGAAAGAATTGAGGTTCACTGTTGAATCAAAGTGAAAGATGTCCAGTCGTTTACTTCAGTCTCTCAGACAGGAGAGTAGGGCCAATAATGGACACAGCAGGACTCAAGATCCAGAATTTATACTTAGTTATCAATCATAGGTAAATAGGCAGAATTATTGCACAAAATAAATAGAACCATTAGCCTGACCCTTGGTTGGGTGTTGATTTAAGAGGAATAAATTAGCTGAACAATGGAAGAAGTATAAACTTTTGCAAAGCTAATGACTCATAGAAAGGTAAGTCAATTAGCTCCAAAGTTAATGATTTATTTTCTGTTAAATGATTGTTAACATCCTAGCTCTTTCAGGTACTTCAACTCAAGTTTCATATTTCAAATTTCTAGATTCTGTGGGAATCTGTCCCATGCCCACCCACCTCCCCCATATATATTAGGATAGATGTGATTGCCCAGCAATAAAAATATTTGGAGAAACATATCATTATTTTTCACACTTCATTTTCAAGGATATTGTTTTAATATTTTATTATATCTTATGGAAACAAGTGTAAAAAAATTGTCAAAGTCCAATATAGTATCAAGAACTGTCTATCCTCATAAGTTTCATATGTCATTCTAAAAATAATTAATTTATTTGTATTATATTATTTTCCCTCTACTTGCCAATTAATGAGCAATACAGAATTCACTTATTCTGTAAAAAATTTAAAAGATTTTGAAGAATTAGAGATAAATAATTCTTGGTTGCAAGAAGAGAATATTATGAAATGAATATCAACTAATCAACAACCATAATTCTAGAACTCTTTGCTCAAAATAAATCTGATATTAAAATATGAACAAAAATCATTATGCATGATGTCTTAATGTAATATATTATACAAAGAACAACACAATATCTATATTCTCCAGCATTCAATTCATAATATAATTGAATTAACTTAATATCCTTGGTACTATGAAAGATATAAATAAGCATATTACCTGCTAGCAGAGAGATTATAATCTATTGAATCATGCTTTGTGCAAGTGTATTTGTTTTTGAAGCAGTTTCATGCTTTCTCTGTGAATATTTAGAAGCATATAGTGATTCTTAAATCACAGACACTTATTAAGCATATAAGACTCAGAAATCAAGCAAAGAGTGTTTTCAACTAAAATCACTATTATTTCTTTTTTATGATTAATTTAAAAAGTTGTGGGATTTATGGCTTTAATTATAGACTAACTATATCAATGTGAAATGAAAATTGTCAAAATATTTAAGGCCAAAATATTTTTCATAATGTTACTACACAAGTCAGAGGAAAGAGATTTGGACAATACTCCCAAATAATGGCTGGTTACTTAGTATTCATTTTTATTTACTATTATTTGTAAGTTAGTTTTAAAAGAATATCCCCAAATGAAACTGCTATGGGTTTTGCATGATGATGCTTCATAGAAAAATGTTAAGTGAGACATGGAGTCAGTAAGGCAAAATCTTAAAAAAATATTTTATTAGATTATTCTATTTTTATGTATGTTGAATTTTTTTCATATTAAAATTTTTAATCATTTGGGCTTGACTGACTCATATTGAAATGTGGCTTCAGTATCTGCTATTTGCAGAATGATAAATACTATCAGTGACTGAGCTTTTAGTCTATCTTAGGCATTGTTTCAAGTGAATATTCCTGGGTCAATAAATTTAATCCTTACAATAGCTCTGTGGGCTAGGCACTGTGACCCATATTTTAGAGAAGAGGAAATGAAGGTTCTATGTATTCAGGAGATTTGTCTAAAATCACACCCTATGACGTGGTAGAACGCATTGCGAACATAGGTGAATCAAGGTCAGAACCTATGACCTCAACTTCTGCTGTGCAGCACTGGGTTAGGCAATAAAATAAAACAACTGTTAAAAAGAAAAATGAAAGCATGTTTCTTGATTCAAAAAGAATCAAGTGTAATAGGGAGAGAAAATTAATAGAATACAAGATGAGATAAGGTAAATGCCAAGAGCAATTCACATAAAACATGACAGACAATTCTGAGGCAAGTTACTTTAGGCAGTAAGTAAATGAAGGAGCCTTCACAGACAGATGAATTAGCATTTGAAATGTGACTTTCCAATGGAAGCAAAGACCTTCCAGGTCCAGAAACCAAAAAAAAAAAAAACCAACACAGGGATGATCAGGGAGGTAGAAGGCACGAGGTATGTATTACAATTGTCTTAATTCTGCATTTGGCTTTGTTAGTTGTATGTGTCTATAAGAAAATGATTTTTTTTCTGCTTCATTTATTTGAGTTAAAATTCAACCTGGAGTTAAAGTTCAACAAAGGAGTAATAATAGCAGGAGATAATATCTTAAATTAATATTGTCCCCTAGGCATAAATCAGCACAAATTGAACTAGAGAGGAGATATGCTAAGTGAATCTAAAAAGATAGAATGATTTCTGGGCTAGGAAGTCATGATTGTAACCTTTCAAAGTTAGTAGTTTATTTAAAAGTCAAATGAGGATAAATGAAAAGGAAGGTCAGTCAGTTAGTAATAGAAAAATAGGGCAAGCATTCTGAGTGTCCAGCTAAGAGCTAATAGCTAAGAGATGTATGGTTGGCGAATATTTTTTTTTTCCTAATTTGTGGGTTGTCTCTTCATTCTGATGATTGTTTTCTTCCTCATGCAGAAGGTTTTTCACTTGATGCAATTCCCTGGATCTAGTTTCAATGTTTGTTGTCTGCGCTTTTTGGATTCTTGACCCAAGAAGTCATTGCCCAGATCATGTTATGAAGCTCTTTTCCCACTGTCTTATTCTTGCTGTTTTATAGGGTCAGTTCAAATGTTAAGCCTTCAATCTATTTTGTGTTGATCTTTGTATATGGTGTGAGATAATGGTCCAATTTCATTCTCCTGCATGTGGATATCCATTTTTTCTACCATCATTCATTGAAGAGACTAAGTTTTCTTGACACCTTTGTCAAGTATCATTTCACCATAATTATGTCTATTTCTGGACTCTCCGTTCTTTTCCATTGATTAGTGTGTCTGTTTTTATGAAAGTACCATGCTGTTTGATTAAAATATCTTTGTAGTATATTTTGGACTCAAAAAATATGATTTGTCTAGCTTTGTTTTTTCTAATTCAAAATTTATTTTACTATCTGGGGTCTTTTGTGATTTCATGAGAAGTTGAGTGTTGTTTTTTTTCTGTTTCTGTTAAAAATGTCATCAGCATTTTGTATTAAGTATGTAGATCACTTTGGGCTGTATAGGCACTTTAACAGTATTAATTTGAATCCATGAATATGGGATATGTTTCATTCATTTGTGGGGTTTTCAGTTACTTTTATCAATTTTAAATTTTTTTTTAGCGTACAAGTCTTTCACCTTGTTGTTTAAGTTTACTACTAAATTTAAAAAAAAAATTTGATGCTATTGTAAATAATTTTTTTTCCTTAACTTCTTTTTTAGATAGTTCATTGTTATTGCATAGAACTGTTACTTTTTTTGGATACTAGGTATTGAACTCAGACCACTGAGCCACATCCCAAGCCCTTTTTTATGTTTTATTTAGAGACAGGGTCTCACTGAGTTACTTAGTGCTTCGCTAAATTGCAGAGGCTAGCATTGAATTTGAGATCCTCCTGCCTCAGCCTTCCTAGCTGCTGGGATTACAAGCATGTACCAAGGCTGGCCTAGTTTTTGTAAGTTGATTTTTGGAACCTGCAACTCCACTGAATTTATCAGTAAAACAGATTTTTTTTTGCGGGGGGGATGTAGAGGATAGAAGCTAGTCCCATGAGATAGAACTGTAAGGGTTGGGGTCTTAGATGTGTGTTTCAGATTCTTCTTTCCCCTATACCAAGGAAAGGGTTTATAGCAGATGCTTTCACTCTGGTTCAGATTGCTCATTCTGAAGATAGTCACTGAATGTTTGCAAGTTTCAAAATCATCTTTTGTTCTCTGGTCTGGGAGATTCAGAAGTTCAGAGTCTGTCACCCTCTAGTGCTAGATAATTTATAAGCCGGTCCCTTACTTTACAAGTCGGGGACATTTACATTTATTGCCAGAGCAACCAGAGAAGAAAGCAGGGAAGTACCCACTTTCCCAATCAGTCACAGGGAGCAATTTCATCTTGCTTCCAATGAGAGACTGCGGGGTTGATCCCTGGAACAAGCTGAAGAAAACACGTGGCAGTGCTGCCCCTCCTGTATAGGCTTGAGAAAGTTCATTTTTATTTGTGACATAGGTTCCCAGACACAGGCTTTTCCGAGGCCAGAACATCTGTGAGCTGCTGGAAAAGTGGGCAGCCTAATCCTTGGAGGAGGAAGTTGGAAGCTGGAGGGATTCTGGGCTGTGATCGTTGGGAGCAGCCACAAAGTCTAAAATTCCCACTTGTTCTTTGTGCTCCTACACCTCATCCCTGCTGCTTCTTAAACTTTCTGATGAGTTTGTAATAACTGAGAGTCACATGTGTGGTCCAGACCCTGTATCCATCAGGATGCAGCTGGGAGACCTTCCTGATTTTCAGACTCAGGATGCAGCTAGTATTCTGCTTTTCCTATCCATGCGGATATGGATATTTTCCCATGTATCCACTGGGGAGAGGTCCTTCAAGTAGACTCTGGCTTTCTCTTGGAGAGAACTGGTGCAGGTACAGTGTCTACTCAGCTTGTCTGTGTGAAGACCCACAGCAGCTTCCCATTCTGTCCTGTGGCTATGGTCAGCTTCTGGGTAGAATTTGAATTCCTGTCTAGTGTACCACATTAACAAGCATTTGCTAGTCCTTTGAGTCTCATTTTCTATCATTCATGCAATTTATTAGCAAATATTTATTACACAGTATAATAGATGTTTGAGATACTTCACTGAACAAGACAGAGAAAAACCCCTGCTTTGCATTATTTGCATTTATTAACTAATGATTTGGAATATTTATTTCACACAAGATGAGAAAAGTATACCTAACA